CCCACAACCCCCACCCTCCCCACAACCCCCACCCTTCGCACAACCCCTTTATGATTCCACCATTCCGATTAAAAAAAAAAGCAGTTTTCGTAATTGATTTATTCATCCAATAAGGTCGGAATGTTGCTTTACGGCAGACGGCGTCACAGTCCAGTGAGTATAGAGGCGAACCAAAGATTAACGCTAGTGCTTCAAACGCTGTCGATGGTGACACTAATCCTGACTTTGGCAAAAACAGCTGCACTCACACCCAACCTAGAGCTCCTCCCTATCCAACCTGGACTGTCACCTTCACCCATCTGTACCTGATTACTAGATTCATTCTCTACAACAGACAGGATGAAAATGGTATGTGGACATGATTTATTATTTTATTTAAAAATGTTTATTGCCTCAAGAACGTTTATTCTAGAAGCAAACAACCCCAAAGATAAAATGGGTTAGATTTAGAAATTTGATAAATTTCATTGTATTTATATTTTAGGACTAAGACTGACACATTTCAACTTACGAACATTCGATGCCAACAATTCTATTGTATTTAACTACACTGATGAGAGGTCAGAGAGTTTAGCGACCTATCAAGTCTTAGATTCCAGTGGTAAAGATCCAGTCCAGGGCATCACTATTACTGCAAATAGTAAAATGTCTTATGACGTTACACCTATTCTTACATTGTGTGAGGTGGAAAGTTATGGCGGTAAGCATTCGGTTACGTACTATTGGATTCTTCTGACATTGTATGTTGAACTGATGTTGTCACTAGAAATATAGCGAACAGGGTAGCACACAGAATACCACACAGGGTAGTACACAGAATAGTACACAGGGTAGCACACAGGATAGTACACAGCACAGGGTGTACACATGGTTGCACAAAGGGTTACACAGGGTAGCACAAAGGGTAGCAAAAAGAATAGTACACAGGGTAGCACATAGGCATGGGCGACCGCAGCGGGGGGGGGGGGGGGAGGGGGGAACCTTGCCCCCCCCCCCCCCTTGGATTGATTGGATAAAAAAAATTTAGACAAAAATAGACAAAAATGTATTAAAGTAAAGAGAAAAATAAAGAGAAAGTAACTAAGCTGATGTCATGTCCGTTCGTTCACCACACAAATACGCTACAGTAAATTAAAACTACATTAAAACATTACTAAAAAATTTTGCCCCTCCCTGGAAAGTTAATCGATTTTTTGCCCCCCCCCCTAGAAAGTTTTCTGTGGGCGCCCATGCACATAGGGTAGCAAAAAGAATAGTACACAGGGTAGTACACATTTTTTTTTAACTAGTTAAGATGGCTGTCTTGTTACATCGTGATGGGAGTTCGATACAATACTTCTAATAGTACACAGGGTAGTACACATTTTTTTTTAACTAGTTGAGATGGCTGTCTTGTTACATCGTGATGGGAGTTCGATACAATACTTCTACTGGCCGAGGGTGGGAGCGAAAGTGGTACTCCGCCAAGCTTGGAACTTTCGGAAATAAGGGGGTGACATTTTCAGTCAACTTCAGGGGTTTTTTTACGTGGAATTGGGGCAGCAAAAATCTTGGGCCATCCGGGCGGCACTAACCCTAGCCGAGCCACTGAGCCCTTGACACTAAAAATATTTTTTCAGTTTGATTATGGTGCATGCTGGTCTCGGGTATTACACTACGACGGCAAACAGCTTGTAATGAACCGTGGACCACCACCAAATTGCGAGCAGTAGTGACGTGAACTGTAACTGGACATTTAACTGACAGTATCTTTATATATATTTTCCTTCTGGTGTGTCCTGCTTCCTCTTCAAAACCGCCCTTTACACCAATAGTGATGAGTGAACAAAAAAGGCTATCACGCAGCGAGCGTCATGCGTGACGGTTGGACTCAGGTGAATAGTTTTATCTTGCTTTCTTTAGGGGAAGGCATAATTTTATTAATCAATAAAGAACCACGCGTATGGTGTAGGACTATATGTAGGACTATTGTTAAGGCCGACAGGTTGGGTGTAGGACTATCTGTAGGACTATTGTTAAGGCCGACAGGTAGTTGTAGTACTGTCTGTAGGACTATTGTTAAGGCCGGCAGCTAGGGTGTAGGACTATCTGTAGGACTATTGTTAAGGCCGGCAGGTAGTTGTAGGACTGTCTGTAGGACTATTGTTAAGGCCGGCAGCTAGGGTGTAGGACTGTCTGTAGGACTATTGTTAAGGCCGGCAGCTAGGGTGTAGGACTGTCTGTAGGACTGTTGTTAAGGCCGGCAGCTAGGGTGTAGGACTGTCTGTAGGGCTATTTTTTCAAAGCTGTCACATGGTATACAAATTGAGAAGTTAACTTTATTTTCTTTTGTAACACTTGCACTCACCGGGTCACTTGGACTCACCGGGTCACTTAGACTTACCGGGTCACTTGGACTCACCGGGTCACTTGGACTCACCGGGTATCTTCTGAAAATATCCGGACCCGCTTTAAAAACACTGCACCCGGTGAGCCCTAGTGATTAATAAATGGCCTCATACCGTGAGGCAGCTTGAAGGCAACACGCGAAGACTTGCCCACCAAGAGGCTAATCCAATAAAAATGCGAAAGTTTTTTTCTGCATGCCTTTGTCATGGTGACCGAAAGTTTCTTTTCACTTTAAAAAAAATGTTACCATGAGTTTAACCATCCACTCTCACCCTCTAGTCGCCACCCAATTTGTTTTTTGGTGGCATGATAAGCAGATCGTGACAAGACAGTGGAAGCTTGCATCCATTGCTATTTTATGACGTGAACTTATGTCTAAATGTCCTGTACAGATTACCATTTGACAACACACAAAAAGCTCACTCCACAGTGACATCACCCACACCTTTATAGCATATTTCCTGGAAAAAGAAATACCCTTGGCTTCTTAGTATTATTTTAAGTATTAATAAACGTGTCCCTAAATTGTGCCGCCCCCACCTCCACACCCCCTTTTTTTCCAACGTGGGAGATACTAACAAGATGCTCCGTTGGTTTCCTTATAAAATAATTATACCTCAAGTTGCGTTATCAGACATCTTGTGTATGTTTCATTAACATGTACCTCCCTATTCTAACAACATATCTGACATATATTGCAATCATAAATGGGCTTATGCATATATATATATAACGTTAATGTTCTCTCCTACATCTTACTGACAGAATGTCCACCTGGGACTTGGGGCTTAGAGTGTAAGAACTGTTCTGTCAGTTGTTACAACACGTCATGCCAAAGAGATTCTGGATTGTGTGACAAAGGTTGTAATGGGTACAACAATCCACCATTCTGTACATCACGTACGTATAATCAGATCCATCATCTATATATATAAAAATGAATGTTTGTATGTCAGTATGTCTGTATGTCTGTATGTCTGTATGTCTCGTATGCGCTCCTACACCATTCATGCGATTGCGACAAAACTTTAATCAGTTGTTGTCCACATAACCGGCCATTAAACTGAGTCATTAAAAACCTTATCAAGTGTTCCGTTCCTAGCCGTTAGCCCTTAATTTGTTTTTTTTCTTATATGAGCTTTGTAAAAATATTTTCCACATGCGCTCCTACGCCATTTATCTGATTCATATAAAACTTTGGTAAAATGTTGCGAACATGTCCATAAACATTTCTAAATTATTACAATCGTTTTAAATTATTCAGTTTTGAGCCAGGGGCCTCATATTCGTTTTTCTTATATGAGCTATATAAATATATTTTCAAACCGTATGCGCTCCTACACCAATCATGCGATTGCTACAAAACTTAGTGAGTTGTTGTCCATGCGCCAGTGCATTTTACTGTGTTATTTAAACACTTTTAAAAACATTCTGTTTTCGGCCGTTGGCCCTTAATTCGTATTTTTTCTATTATGAGCTTTGTAAAAATTAATTTTCATATGTGCTCCTACGCCATTTATCCGATTGCAATAAAACTTAAAACTTTGGTGAGATGTTGGAAGCACGGCCGCAAAGATTTTTAAATTATTATAAACTTTTCAAAATATTCCAATTTTAGCCAGCGGCCTTATTTACGTTGTTTTCTTATACGAGCTATATAAATATAATTTCAAAACGTATGCGCTCCTGCACCATTCACGCGATTGCGACAAAACTTTGACGAGTTGTTATCTATAAACATAAATATTCATTATAATACTTTTAAAATATTCCGTTTTGGGACGTTGACCCAAATTCTTATTTTTTCTTATATGCGCTTTGTAAAAAAATAATTTTCTATGCGCTCCTATACCATTTTTCAGAATGCGATAAAAATTTAGTGAGGTGTTGTTCTATCGCCCACAAATGTTCTTAAATTACTACAACCGTTTTAAAATATTCAGTGTTGAGCCAGGGGCCCTATGTTTGTTTCTTACAAAATGAGCTATATAAATATAATTTCAAACCGCATGCGCTCCTACATCATTCAAGCGCTTGCGATAAAACTGAGGTGAGTTGTTGTCCATAAGCCAGAGCATTTTTCTAAGCCATTATAACTCTACTAAAATATTCCGTATTTTTGGCAATCGCCCCAAATTCGTGTTTTTTTCCTTACATTAGGAGCTTTATAAAAAATAATTTCCGTATGCGCTCCTCTACATTATTACAATGCGATAAAATTTTAGAGAGATGTTGTGCGCGCGCCCGCCTGCAAAGGTTTCTTAAATTATTACAACCATTTTAAAATACTCCGTTTTTAGCCAGGGGTCCTATGTTCGTTTTTTCTATATTTGCTATACAACTATAATTTTAAGCTATACAACTATAATTTCAAACAGAGCTAAAGCATAAATGGATAGCTTTTTAATCAAATACAAATAGTGAAATAAATTGAGTGTGTGACATATTAAGTAGGTTTCTGAAGTAATACAACAATTCTACAATATTCCATTTGTGGAGGGGGGTCCTAAATTCGTTTTCCACACTTCTATTATCTATATAATTATAGTAAGCATTTCTATACCATTCGTTCGATTGTGATCAAACTGGGTCAAGTGAAATGCGCACAACCGAAAATGTTTCTAAATTAGAAAAAAAACATTTTACAATATTCCGTTTGGGCCAGTGACCCTAATTTCATATTCTCTTCTAAGAGCTTTGTAACTATAATTTCAAACAGAGCTATTGCATGTGTGGAAGTAGCTGAATCCGCCGGCAAATTTTTCAAATTTAGTACATCCATTGTACAATATTCCAATTAGGGCTGGGGACCCTAAATTCAATTTATTTTCTTAAATGAGCTTCATCAATATAATTTATAACGAAGATATCAACACTACCGCCCTTGAACAAATGACACATTTGTAGTAAAGCAGAGAAAACACGTTTTTACATTTTTAGTGTAGAGAGTATTTTTGTTATGTGTATAAATAAG